TCATCTGCGCTAGGAACAATGGCTTTCACTTGCACAAAGGATTTCTCCCACCCTGGATTCAGACCGAAATGCCTCTTGCTCTGATAATAGCTTCTGAAAAGATTTTGTAATGCAGAGAATTAATACATGATTATTTCCGCCTGACTTCTCTCATTTATGAGAATTCTGTGGCAAATTCCAAATTAAAAATAGTTCAGTTAACAGCTTTAAAAAATACTTTTAAAATATTTTAAGACATTACCGACCCCCCTCCCCCATATTTTTAAGTTTGGTCATTCCCGTGGCCCAAAAACTATTAAAATTTTTGATCAGCCTTAAAGTGATAGCCACTATATTTTAGTAAATACATCTTAGTAAATCTATTTGAAATTTCCAAGTAATCCTAAAATTTTTCATCTGGGAAAGCAAAGACAGATTTGTTGTAGCAACTCATTAGTAGTGTCTAAAATCAAATTCTAAATTTTACAGGGAAAGAAAGCATTACAATCATAGTAACCAAAGTGCAGAGGAGCACAGCATGAGGCTGGGTTTGCAAAGCCAAGTCCTTAGGAATGATACAAATGAAAACATGCACAGATTAGAAGTTTCATATTAATGAAATTAAATGCCTGTGCCCATAAGTTTTGGATACAAGTGTATTTTACAATTGAAGTCAGTGGCTTAGGTAAGGGACTGCTATTGTTAACTGTTCACTGGGCACAGGCTTGGAAACATGCTCAATGGAGCTCCTGGTCCATAAATATTTGTTACCGTGAAGTTTTGTGTTTGTGTGGCTGCCTTAGTCCTCACAACCGCATTTGAGCATAAAATGTTCTCTCTCTCTCTCTCTTTTTTTTTTCCTCTCTCTTTTAAGCTTACCACATGGACAGCTAAAGAAAAAAAGTTTTGAAGATATTTTGCCATAAATGGCTCAGAAGACAATGTAAAGGAAGCCCCATGCACGCTTCACATTACAAGCACAGATCAAAATAGTTTAAATAGGTCAGGACAACATCTGTAGATTCTAATTTCTAAGAGCAACTCCACAAGTTGTCTCTGTGGTCACATTTATCTCAAATCACAGCTTCTGCAATATTTTATATTCTAAACTCAAGAAGTTGCAGGTGGAAATGTTTGAGTGGAAGAAATATGCAATATTGTACTGCAGTTTTCTGCCAAGATACATATAACCTGATCTAAGGTTGACTTCATTATTCCTGATTATTTTTAAAAATCGTACTTTTCCTGCATCTGGAACTTAGCATTAAGTGCTTGTGTGTGTAACTCCTGCATGCTGGGGTACACAGCTACCGGTGCTCCTGTGTGACCTCTCTGCCACTGTACAGAAGGAGGTGTTCCGCTTTTAAAGGATGCCTGACTATAAATGTCAAAGTCATAAATATTTAAGCATTATTTTCTTTCAATTCCAAGCCAAGACTGACAGGATACCTCTAATTAGTCGTGGGCTCTCTGCAGGACCCAGCCCCAGGACAAAATTTGGGGAAGGCACAAATAGTTCAAGTTTCTCAGCCTTGGGGAGGGGCAAAAGGGGGGGAGCACCGAGCACCCCCCTCCACCCAGGTCACACTTGGAGCAGGACAGGATCAAACTCACTTCCCAGCACATATCAGGCTGGTGGTTAGCAGGGATTCCAAGTTTTGTTTGTTTTCTTAATTCCACAAAAAGAAAGGAGATAAAATAATCAAGTTATTTAAGCTCAATCACTATGCCAAAAAGGGGAGTTCACTTTCCTTAATTTTTATTTTTTTGAAAAAATCTGTATAAATTTTCGTTTCTTCCGGGATTCTTAAGACCAGGCTAGCAACCAGCACCAGTTTTTCCTCTCACTGGGCCCTGCGGCTCAGAGCTAGGTAGGTGGGCACCCACTGAGGTGCGGGCTGGGAGCAGGGAGGGGCAAGGAAGAGAGACTTCTGGTTCCCGCGGTGGCACCCAAGGCCGGCAGGAGGGAGGCTTCCGAGCCCCGCAGGGACTGGCCACCTCAGCATCACAGCCAGGACGGATGGGAGGGAGGGTGCATTTTGTCCCTCTGGCTCACACCCTCCGATCCCCCACCCCCCTCCACCCCGAGCCCATGCATGGGTCACCCAGCGCTTCCGCCATCAGCAGCCTCAGCGACCCCTCTCCTGGCTGCAGGAGGAGCCATCCCCATGAGCTGCGGGATGTCAGCCAGGGTGCCGCCCTCCTGCCCGGGACCACGTCACCCTTCTCTGCAGGACAGCTTGGAAGTAGAGGGGACCAGAGAAAATGAGACTCTGTGGGCAGGGGGGTTGGTCCTGTTCCTCCCCGCCTCCCCTCCTCCCCCAGCAGCACCTGGGACCCGCAGGGGTGGGGTCGGGGGAGCTGGGCAGCGAGCAGGGAGGAGGGAGAGCGGGATCTCCAGAGGAGGGACCCGAGCTCTGGAGGCAGTCCGCCGCTCTCCTTGACATTTTTCTTTGACCTTTGAGTCAGTTTCTCGCGCTGAGTAAGGGGCAGCCGGCAGGCCCTGTTCCAGTCCCCGTGCGTGCCCAGCGCATCTTGGGTCACCATGACCGATGACCCGTCGGTGCCCCGGCCACCGTGGGAAGAGCTTCGGTGCGGCCTCCAAGCTGCATGTCCAGCCTGGGGTCTCTCCTTTGCCCCCGACCTGGGCCAGGTTGGTGTGTGGGCAGGGCCTGCCACTTGTCTCCGTGGCCTCCCGCCCTGTGCCCCTCACACGGTGAGCGGCCGGGCACCCACGGCCCGGTGGTCCCCCGTCGGGTGCGCACTGGGCGTCCACCAGAGGCCGGGCTGGCCAGCACCCGCGTGTGCGCTCCGCGGCGCCAGGCAGGAAGGCCCAGGAAGGCCCGTCCCGGGCGCCGGCAACCACGTGAGCGCGAGGGGTCCCCCGCGCTGGCGCCCGGCCCAAGTGGGGACACGGGGACTTCCAGTGGCTGCCCCGGGCGGGCTGGGGGGACGCGCCGCGACGGCCAGGCGGACCGAGCCGGGGCGGAGGGACTCGGACGCCCGTCTCGGCCGCGCCGCCTCCTTTGTTGTGCGCGCTCGGTCTGCCGAGGCGAGGCTGCCCCGCGGGGGGCGCGGGCGGAGGGGGGCGAACAGTCCTAGTGGAAACGCCCCTCACGGAGGTGTGCCTCCGGCCTCTTTCGGGGAGCAGAGGGGCTGGCGACCCCAGCCGCGGAGCGCAGACCCGGGGCGGCGGGGACCCTGGCCCGAGCCTCGCTGCGCCCTCGGGCGCTAAGCCGCTGCGGGACCGGGGACGGGGACGCAAGCGAAGCATCGAGGGGCCGGGGCCGGGGCCGGGAGCTGGGGAGCGGGAGGCCGGGGCCCGGGAGGCCGGGGCGCGGGGACCTGGGGCCGCGGAGGCCAGGCCCCGGGCGGCCGCGCTCCCTCCGGCACTGCTGGGCCTCGCTGCGCCGGGCGGGGTCCACGCGGTTTATTTACCCGGGCGGGGACAGGGGTGCGGAGGGAACGGGGTCGGCGGGGGCGGGCGGCTGGTCCGCGGCTCCGGGAGCCTCCACCTTCTGGGGGCGGCCGTGCGGGCGCGGAGGGAGGGGCGAGCGAGAGGCGGGAGGGGAGGGTCCCCGCCGGGGGCTACCGCGGGACGCGCCACACTGGCCTCCGGCAGCCCGGCCCGCGCCTCCCGCGCCCCCGCCCTCCACCCCGAGCCCTCCCTCTCCGTCCCTCCCCCTCCGCCTCCCCTCCCCCTCCGGCTCCCTTCCCCCGCCAGCCCTCCCCTCTCCCAAGCCCCCCCCCCCTCCGTGCACCTCCCGCCGCTTGCCAGCCTCGCCGCGGTCCTCGGAGCCGCGCATCCAGGCAAGAAAATCCAGCGCCTTTTCTCATTTAACCCGCGTTTCCATTAACTCAGTCCCGGCACCAGCTAATCCGCTGCACGGAAGGCAAAAGGAGGCTAATTAATGACCAGCTTTTCCAGTCAAGACCGGCGATAATTGCTTTGGTGGCCTTTATGATTACAAGATAAAAATGGTCCGGCCTGACATAGGAGGCCCTGTGTACACTCGGGGACAGGAGCGAACGAGCGGGTGGGAGGCTGGATACGGAGCAGAAGATTACTAATAGAAGACACATAATGAACAGGCCGACCAGGCATTCATGGGGAAAAATCCATTTTGTTACCACGCGAAATTAGGTGGTGGAAAGGAGTTTGCTAATTGTTCTCGTCTTGTAGCAAGCTGGGATGAGGCGGGGCGCACGTCTCCATTCAGGTCCCCAGGAAGGCTGGAGGGCGCGCTGCCCGAGGGGCCCTCCTCCCTGCCCTGACTGTGGCCAGTACACCTGCCGACAAGCTGACCGGGAGCCCCAGGCACCTGTCGCCCGTGGAGCCTAGGGAAGCACACCTGGAGGCTCTCCCCTGCCCCCAGGGCAACGGGAATCTGATGGCTGGTCTCCTCAGGCTCCGCACCATGAGAAGGGAACTCGGGACCCTCCGGTTCCAAAAGCCCTGCAGCTCCCTCAGGGAAAAGCACTCGGTGCATGGTGCCCTTGGGGTCTGTGTCCCGCGGGTGTGCGCAGGGGCAGGTCGGTGGGGGTGTCGGCAGCAGGTTCCTCTGGAGGCGGCCCCCCTGCAATTGTCTTCAAGAATGCAGATGTGAAGCTTAGGAGAACCTGCCTCCCCTGTGTGCTGTGTGCTGTAGAGTTGTTTGACTTTTCTGTGCTCTAGGCACCCCCCCCCCCAAACATTTGTGGTGTGTGCTCGGGATAAACTGCTGTATTTTCCTCACACTTGTCTAGAGGAAGGGATGCGCACTTTTACTTAAGGCAGCAAATCAGCTGCCAAAGGCTTGACGTTGTTATGGTTAGAAAAATGGTGTCCGTAAGGGAAACAAGTGATGCTTCCAGGTCCTTTTGAGAACATTGCAGTCTGTGGGTGCTAGTTTGAGGGCTGCTGTTCTGAATGGTCTGATGGCAGCATAGTGCTGGGCTGAGCCTGACACTTGGAGAAGGGTGGTCTCTAGGAGGTCCTAATTTGTTAGGTCCTAACATGCACCTTCTCTCTTGTTCTTCAGAAAAGCAAGCTCAAGCTTCTACCGCAAGGAGCAGAGCAAGAGGACTCGACCCCGTTCATCGTGCTCACCCTGGTCTCTGTGGTGGCCATGGTTGGGGTCCTGCTGGCCTCGAGTGTCATCTACTGCCTGCGCCACGCGTCCCACTCCAGGCTACAAGAGAAGCTTTCGGGAGTAGGGGACCACTCTGGCCCAGATGCTACAGCTGCCTATCAGGTATGGGTTCTGTTTGTCCCCTCTGTTCCCAGCGGTTCATTTATTCATAGTTTGCAGCTACTCATCAGCATTCATGTAAACACCCTATAACCACAGGTTTACTGCTTTGTATGAATCCTACTCTATTCTCGGCTAGTCTCCATGAGTCGTGAGAACAGGTTGCTCAATAGAAATGTGGAAAAAAGTACAAAACATGAATCATGTATGACCTGTTATCTTAGTTTGGCCACTATTCATGAAAGATGCCAAAGTTGCAAGATAAATTGGTTATGTAGACATTTGAAGATGTCTCTTAGATCATCAACTTCCTCAGGTCTTATACAAAAAGACCCTTTGACCTGGCCCATCACCACCCCCCACTATTATTTGGATAAAGGGCAATCCAGTGCTGAGCGGCGGGAAGTACACCAAGGACGTCTCCATGAGAGCAATGGTGGCGGGTGTGTGCTGAAACACGCGGCCATTCCACACACACCTGGAAACAACTCAGAAGCCCCTGAGAGTGTGAGGAAGGCGGGTGCAGCCCAGAAGGGACAGTGAAACACTCACAGAATGTTTGGGAGTTCTGTAGCATGCACTTCACATTTAGTGACATCCTAAAGCAATGAGAATGGGCCAGCCCACAGCACATACAAGTCAGGTGACAACAATCAGCATCGTTCCCATTTGGGAAGGTAAAATACTTAATTATCGTTTTGAAAATTCAATCAGTATATACTTGTGAAATATCTTCCCTCATTGGGCCAGATTCTTTGTTTTTTCTAGTCAGGGGATTATGATGTGTGGCACGTCTGTCTTGTAAATAATGCATCGCATTTTACAATAACATATAAGTTGAATATTCAGTATCACAGTTACACAGGGGGCTCCCAAGCTCTTCCTAGAACCACCCTCCCCCCATACTGTCTTGCCAGGTGCCCCCCCCCCCCCCCCGAGAGCTTGTCCGAGCTGGCTGCTTTTGCTCCGCTGGCCACCCTGGCGCTGACCCACAAAAGGAGTTGGATGAATTTATAAAATCACTATGCTTAAAAGAGACCAAGAGATAGCCTCCCCCTGGCCCTTGTTAGAAAGTTCTTGGTATCACCACTGAATAGAGAAAAACTCTGGTTTTCTGGAGGAGGTCGCAAGGCAGGTCAGTAGGATCTTCTCTTATAAAGAAATGGCACCTTCGAATGTGTGGGAGATGGCATTTCAGCCTCAGTGCACAGCTCTGCTTCAAAGCAAAAAAAAAAAAAAAAAAAAAATCACGTTTGAAGAAGCAGCCCAGAAAAAAAAAAAGTCACATAAACTAGTAAGAATTTATCCAGAAATTCTATTGAGCAAGACCATCAGTGTAGGATGCCGGGGCTTCTAGGCTGTGTCTGTGCCAGGACATAAATAAATTATCACACCAGTTCTGTTCTGTGTGCAAGAGACGGGAGATCACACAGGGGTGGATTTTTAGAAAGCATGGCATCCTTTGATATACTTTGAAATTCAAATATAAAATATTGATAGAATGGAAAGGTTGGGCTTGCATGCAAAAGTGACTAAGTTTGGCAAGAATGCAGGTTGAAATTGCATACTTAGAACCGAGTTTGTGATAATTAACAGAAAAAAAAATCTTCCCGGTGACAGCTCTAATTAATAGTATCTGTAATTAAAATCATGCCCTTCCAGCAGGAAAATTGTTTGAATTTCTTAGAGTGACCTTTCTGCTGTTCCTCCTGGGGGCATGGTGGTTAAGTTGATATTGATTTTATAATGAGCTCTGGTTTGTTTAATAAGAATCTGTAATCCAGACAATAAATGAAATGTGTGCTTTTCTTCCACCCAGATTAATAAAAAGAGGGGGGAAAGCACAGGAAAAACTTTTGCTTTAAAAATACAATCTAGGAAAATTTGGAAATGAAATTATTACAAAGATTTTCTGATGGGCTTAGTTTCCAAATCACCATGAAATACTTTTAGGGAACAACTCTGGTTAACTGTAGACGTTTGACCCAAAGTGGACTCTCTGCTGGGGAGATGTTACTGCTTGAGGTGTTGAGTTGTTTGGGTTTGTGGCTCGCAGAGCAGGACTCAGCAAATGGGGATGGGATTTCAGGACTTTTACCGCTAGATTTCGCTGAGTCATGGATGAAGGCTCTCAAAAGTGTCAGTAGAAATAGAAAGTGCTTACATGTGTGAAGGGAGCAGGTATTAACTCAGGAATGCATCCACCCTAACCCTGGCTTTTCTAGAGCTACCACCGTCTGGGTTTTTTAAAGTATTGCAGACATAAAAACCGTCTCAGGAAAAGTTGCTTTGACGCTTTCTTCATTTTTCAACCATTGAACTTTTCTGCGCTCTGCTAATCCTATAATGCAAGTGAGATTTGGATAAACCTCCTGTTAATTCCCGACACCGGGTGATGAGGAAAACTGAGCAATTTAACATCATACGTTATTTCATACTCAAACTTTCCAAGAAACTGAGGTTGGTTTTTTTTTGTATATTTTTTTATTGAGTTTGATTTGCCAACATATATTGTAACACCCAGTGCTCATCCCGTCAAGTGCCCCCATCAGTGCCTAGTCACCCAATCCCCCCACCTACCTCCCCTGCCACTACCCTTTGTTCGTTTCCTAGAGTTAGGAGTCTCTCGTGTTTAAGACAGAGGTTATTGTGTACAGAGGTTAAAAGCCTGGGAGTGAGGAGCTGTGGGTGGCAACGCAATAAGTTTTACTTACATCAGTTATCAACTTACCCTTTAAATAGAGGAACTGAGTGTTCTTATCAGAACATGAGGAGCCTGGCTCTGGTCAGCAGTGAAGACGGGGGGAGCTCAGAGCTGGTGGCCTCTGGAGCAGGAGTTCTTCCCAGGGAGCCAAGAAGGAGAGTCCGTATGTGCCCAGGTGAACAGCCAGCAGTGGCCTCATTGCAAGGGAGCTCAGGTGGGGAGGCCCCCGTGCAGCAGACCCTTTGGAAAGCCCTGGTCCTTGCCATCCCTGACAATGCACACCTTCTAGATGTTACCCTCCCAGGCTCCTGGCAGCCGATGCAGAGCCCCCACGTGCTCATAATTCACAGTTTGTGGCTTTGGGTGAGTTACAGGGCATCCATGGAGTGTTCCAGAATGATCAGTAGGCTTCTCTTAAAATTGTTTCGAAACAGTGAGTCATTTGCATTATTAGGTCCCAGTGCAAACACGCTTAAACATGCTTCCTCTTCTTCCTAAGCATGAAGCTATTTCATAGACAGAGTCAGCATCTCAAAGCTTAGTTTACACACGTGTACTTGTGTGATACTTTGGTCACTCTACCTATTGGAAAATCAAGTATTTCTTGATAGACTCTTACACTTTGACACTTACCCAGAGATCAGTCTTATCAGATAATCTATTGAAGTTTCATTTCCTTGAGCCTGAAAGAATTGGGTGTATTAACTTTCAGAAAAACGGAAGCACATTTTGAAAGGACATTTCTTTTAATGACGGCTGCCAATTTTTCACCGTTGTGTTACTTCATGTTATTTTTTCTCCTAAATATATAAAACATAACATGCTTGGATTAAATCTGTACTTCATTATTTAAAAAGATAATTTTCTTACTTTTATTCCCCCCCCCACACACACACACTGGCATGTTAGCACATAACATCGGTGTCATGTGTATACGTGTGTGCACGTCTACGGCACCTGCTCGAAGCTGGTGGGGTTCGGGTCGGTGTGGACGGAGGCGTGGAGCTGTGTCCTGCATGGGATGGGCATCTCCTTGTGGGGAAGTCCTGATTCTGGGGAAGGCCGTTGGTTGACACTGCAGAAAGAAGTGATGAGGTGGTTAGAACACATCCCCCTCCTCTCTTGGAGTCTTTTCGAATGTTGCCTCCGTTTCTCTGAAGCTTTGATCACCTTGGGGCAGCCCCATGCTCCCACCCTGCCTGTCCCCAAGTGAGGGCACAGAACCCTGCGGAAGTTCCAGCAAGCGTCTTTTGATGGTTCACTTCACAATACCCAGCAGGCTTCCTTGTCCCTGGGAGGCCTTTGGAAGCAGACCCAGAGGAGAGCATGCGTTTGAGTGCGGGGCGGCCTGCACACTGGCTGCGGTGCTCACCCCACTGGCTATGCAGTAGGTGCGTGGTGGCAGCTGCTTGGGGTGCTCTCTCCGCCCGGGCTGAGGTGCTCTGGGGCCCCAGCCTAACTCCGCAGCCCAGGGCCAGGGGAGAGCCTGTGCCTCACAGAGGAGGGGGCATGTTGCCAGCTGGCTTATTCCTCTGCACATTGGATCAAGGGACCTTCTTTTTTTTAAGGCAGTTGAATCTTCTGTAAGTAGCGCGATCACTAGTTAGAAAAGTATTGTCCAATTTCAGTAGAAAACAGGGAGTCTGCTGACGTTTCCCTGACCCCCACCACAAACTCCTGAAATAGCCCTTTTCAGTCTGAAAGCATGGCCTTTCTTTGCTTTACATTTAAATTTTCAGGTCAAAATAACTTTTTTCTTTTTCTTTCTTTCTTTCTTTCTTTCTTTCTTTCTTTCTTTCTTTCTTTCTTTTTTTGCAACTTCCCATCAAGCAAAATCTATCCTGCTTCAAAAACAGAAAAGTACCCTCAAGTATCATTAAAGAACTTAACGTTTTTATCCCAACCCAAGCAAGCCTGAGAATTGGGATTCTGGCTCATTTTGCCTTTGCAGGAAGCTGTTAGCACCTGTGGGTCTATAGGGAGAATTCTCTAGAAGCTTTCCAGACACAGAGTCGATGTCTCATCTGGGTCAAGGAGAAGCTAGGCTCCTGAGGGGGAGGCCTTGTCCTGGGGTGCTGTGTACCCCGTGACCCCAGAGAGAGGCCTGAGCTCCACTGCAAATTAAGTAAAAGCCGTATTGTTGCCTGAAGGTGCCACATGCCATGGCCCCAGTCACGTGCCAGCCTCAGGGAACCAAGCAGGCCCTTGCTCTGCAGAGAGGAATGCCTATGCGTTTTGCACCTGCGTGCAGTTTCAGGTGAGGGCCAGCAAGCCCCACGGAATCTTCTAGATTCCTTTG